ATATTATCCTATCACTGACAGGATTGTACTTCAGGATACATCTTGAAGCATTCTTCGTGATGATGAAGGCCATGCCATTCCTCTTCAATTTGTTATTCTTAGTGTAGTAGGTCATATGGTTGTCTGATTTAAAATGGCCAAAACCAGTCCATTTTAGGTCACTAATGACTAGTATGGGGAGCTCTGGTGGCATATTGCATAAGGCATTTGACTGCTAACCAGATGATTGGTGGTTCAAACCCACCAGCCCCTCCTCAGAAGGAAGACTGAGCAATCTGCTTCCATAGAGATACTGCCTTGGAAACCCAAGGAGTGGTCGCTGAGAGTCAGAATTGACTCAATGGCAGTGAGTTTGGTTTAGGTTTTGGAATACCTAGGATATCGATCTTTATGCATTCTATTTCATTTTTGACAGCTTCCAGTTTTCCTAGATTCATACTTTGTACATTCCATGTTCCCATTTTTAATGGTTGTTCGCAGCTGTTTCTTCCCATTTTGATTCATCCACATCAGCAAGTGGAAATCCTGAAAGCTTTATGCCATCCACATCATTAAGGTCGGCTCTACTCTGAGGAGGCACCACTTTCCCAGTTGTATTTTGAGTGCCTTCTAGCCTGAGGGGCTTATCTTCCAACAGTATATCGGACAGTGTTTCAGAGATGTTCATACAGTTTTCCAGTACTATATCAAACAGTGTTTCACTGCTGTTCATAAGGTTTTCACTGGTCATTTCTTTGAGAAGTGGATGGCCCCTTCCTTCTTCCAAGTCTGTCTTAATCTGGAAGCTCTTTTGAAATATGTCTATCATGGGTGAGCCTGCTGATATTTGAAATACTGGTGGCATAACCTCGAGCCTCAAAGCAAGCTACCAAAGTACAACAAACTGACAGATGAGTAGTGGATTTATTATTGTAGTAAATCAATATAATGAATGTATGCTGACATTCTCTTACAATAATATTTACAATAACATCTCCAAAAACTGGAATGTTCTTTGGTGACTAACTCTGAAGTAAAAGTTAAATGGAAAATCGGTTTGAGTTTATCTTTATTGCAAGTCAGTAAGAATGTCACTATGTCTGGGGTTATTATTTGGTATCTAGAATATCAGGTATAACTTTTTATTTTTAGAGTGTGTTAGGAAGTTGGTTTCATATAGTAAATGTGTAGTGTAGCAAAGGTCCATAATACTCTTTGGAAATCATTCTTTTAACTATATCTCATTAATTAGTGTTCTTTCTTATATATTTTAGAAAAAGTTCAGTATGTAAATAAAAATATCTTTAAGTATTTTCAATAATACTTACTTAGGTAGATGAAGATCTAGTTAAGTAATATATTGTTATGTGTAGCCTCTACATTGTACTTGGTAAGCATGCTTACAAGAACTCAAATAGAAGTTAGGAAGATAATAGTACAATTAATTAGTGTTAATTCATTGTATTTGGAAAGCATATTAATTGATGATTTTAAATCTTTAACACTACAAAGCTATGTATTATCTTTGTTTACATTCAAAACTCTGAGAATGACTTCTAATAGAAATAGACTTTGCAGATATCTGTTTTTATCTCTCGTACTTATCTGAGGGCTGTTTTCCCCCTTCCTTTTAAAGAGTAATAATACTAATAGTAAAACTGTAGTATGGTTGCCTTCTTTTCTACCTCTTAAAATAAGAGCTGTACTAATTTCTTGTCAAATTGTATATGTCAGAGAAAATTTCTTTAAGAATAATGACAACAATTAAAAAAAAATAAAACTTGCAAAATATCTCATTTATTGGAATGTCAAACCTCAGATCATCTGTTATTTTAAAATATATTTTCATTAAGGAAATCATCCTGTTTACATTAATATTTCAGAGACTCATGTTCTATTTCAAGGTTTAATTGTATCACCTAAATCATTCTTTTAGAACTTGGCTTATAAGAACTGTGTGTATATGTATTTGATTGATTGGTTAAGCTTCTAGAAATACCATGAAACAGATTATTTATAATATTATGTCTTTGTCTCTCCTTCGTAAAATCCCTTTGCAAAAAGACCACTATTTTTTTTTTTTTAATTATGATTTGGGTGAAAGTTTACAGAGGAAATATATTTTCTATACAGCAGTTCATACACATTTTGGTTCATGACGTTGATGGCAATCCCCATAATATAACAACTTTCTTCCCACCTCCACCCTGTGGTTACCTTTTTCCTGTGTCCTTTTTTCTTACTTTCTGAGCTATCTCCCTGTGCAAATACTGCCATTCTGATTTCCCATGGTTAATTGTTCTGAGGAGTATACCTGCTGCTGTTGTGTGCCGTCGAGTCGGACCCGACTCATAGCAACCCCTCCTTGGGTTTCCGAGGCAGTATCACTACGGAAGTAGATTGTCCCATCTTCCTTCCGAGGAGTGGCTGTATACCTACCTGGTGTAAATGTTCACCTTATATCCTGTGTTTTGCTTGGCTAGAAGCCACAGATGTGAGTTCAATTCTGGGCCTGAATGGTGACTAGGGTCCAGAATCTCAGGGTTTCTCCAGTCTCTATCAGACCAGTAAGCCTGGTCTTTTTTATTATAATTTTGACTTTTGTTCAACATTTTTCTCCTACCCTTCCCAAGCTCTCCTGTACTAATCCCTTTCCATGTGGTTGACGGGTAGCCTGGCACCATCTAGTTCTTTTGGTCTCAGGGTCATGTAGGCTGTGGTTCCCATGGTCCACTAGCCCCTTGGACTAATTGTTTCTGTGTGAAAGACTGCTAGTTTTTTTTTAGTAAAAAAAAAATTGGGGCAAAATTGCCATTTTAAAAACCACTTTCAAGTGTATAGTTTAGTGCCATTAATCACATTCACAATAATGAATATAGTTTTAATGACATGATACACTCTTATGCCACTGGAGTTAAGTAGGATAAAAGCAGTATCACTGTCTGTTATCTCTGTTATTGTATCAATTGTATTCTGACCTAGGATATTGGCCTTAAGACAGAAGATTTGGGAATCCCAGGAGAAATTAGATGAAGCAAGATATTACTTCCTGCTGGCCTAGTTCTGGTCAGTCAGGCAGAATGGGACAAAGTTTCTGAAAGTCAGGTTTAAAAAATCTGCGCCTGAACTGAAGTAAGTCAGCTTATATAATTACAGTGCATATAAGGAGCTCTGGTGGCATAGTTCATAAGGCATTTGACTAACTAGAAGATTGGTGGTTCAGACCTACCAGCCACTCCAGAGAAGGAAGACGGGGCAGTCTACTTCCATAAAGATTAACTGCCTCAGAAACCCAAAGAGGGGGTCACTTTGAATCGGAATTGACTCTATGGCAGTGAGTTTGGTTTTCTTATAGTTACTGCTGTTGGAAAATATCTGAAATTTAGAATACCTGGGTTTTTAATTTTCAGTTATGCTGCTTACGGTAATGAGCTATCAACTCTAGTGTCATTAACTTTTTTTTTTTTAATAAAGGGATTAAAGATAGGGTAGGGGAAGCATCAAATAGGATTCTTAGAATTTAAGCATGGAGGTCTGGAAGATGGTAGGTCCTTATAGAAAAAGAAGAAGTAACAGATTTAAGAAGAGGACGATAAATTTGATTTTGAGAATACTGAGTGTGAAGTATCAAAGGGAGATGTCTAGCTAACCAGAGATAAGGGTGAGTGCTTAGGCTCGGGGGGTCCTTTACACAGGTGATAGTTAAAGCCAGGATCGTGGATAACGCTGCTAATAATAATGGCAGTCATCAGTTACTGCACTCTTGTTCTATGCCAGACATCATGCTTTATATATTGATCTCGTTCCATCTTTATATCTACCTTATGATAAGAAGTGGAAGCAGGAAACCAGTTAGTAGGTTTTTGCTCTTACTCAGAAAAGAGGTAATGGTGGCTTAGACTGGAGTTACATAGTAGTAAGATAAGAGATGGTGAGAACTGATCAGATTTGGGATGTACATGGGATGGAGGACTCACAGGACCTGCTGATGTGGGGTTTAAATCAAAGAGTGGAATTGTCATAAATACTGGTTTTGGGACTTGAACAACTGGGTAAATGAATGGTATTGCCATTTATTTATATGGGCAACATGAGATAGAGATATTAGTGTGGTTACAGGTTGAAGTGAAGATTTCATCAGAAGGAGAAATATTTAATTTTTCAGAAGAGTATAATTAATGATTTAGGAAGGTACCAAAAGAGATGGGTACACAGAAGTAACTGACTGAGACACAAATGTAAGAGTTAGTCTTAAAAAGTAGAGGGAAGGAGACTGAAGACAGAAATGTGAGGATGGAAGGGATATTAGAAAAGCTCATATTGGATGATCTTGGTCATTAATAAAGTGCTGAATCTGTTATTACATTCACTTATGAACAACTGCATACTAATTGTTTTGTGTTCCTAATATAAAGTTTCTAATTTATATACTTTAAACCTTATTATGTTTATTATTATATAACCTGCTACTAAGTGCATATACAGTCATGTACCATAAAGTGTTCATTTGGGCAATGTCCAACAGCATATATATGTCAGTGGTCCCAACTGCTATAATGTTAAAAATTAAAGGTACATACAATAGTTCTTAATAACAAACAGGCAGTACATTTTTTTAAGTTTATTTTGGCAATGTGCATCAAAATATTATCATTATTGCTCTGTTAAAGATGTTTTAGTGTATCTGGAAGTGTGATTATTTTTTTTATGGACAGAAAGGTACACTGTATATACTGTATACTAAGACAAAAATTTGAGTAATTGATGTTAATTAAGAACTGCACCTAACTGTTCTGGCATATATAAAAATTCACCTTAAAGACACATTGAAGAATAGAACTCATTCATGATATGGGGGACTACGTGTAAGTAATATGATGTTCACACAATATGCCAATCACATAACATCTATTTCACAGAATGTGCTGTTAATGTTAAGCAACACATGACTATATATTATATACACACACATACACATATACACATATATATGTGTATATATAATTTTTTTTTTTTTCCAGGTTGTAAGTTCTACAAATGGGGAATTAAACACAGATGACCCTACCGCAGGACGTTCAAATGCACCCATCACAGCCCCTACAGAAGTAGAAGTGATGGATGAAACCAAGTGGGTATTGTTTTGTTCATCTTAACAACATGTTTTCTTAAACTCTGCATGTGTGAGATTTGCAGTCATGTACAATTACTTTGAGAATTTTTTTTTTAAAGAAAAAGTGCAGGCAAAACAGTGTTTTGTTATTTTAATCACAGATTTAAGATGGTGCTACTTCAGTAATAGTTCAGTAATGAAAAAGTTACTACTTAAAACCTGTGCTCAAATTCTTATTTAGAATTAACAGCATATGTTTAGCCTTTGATTTTCCACCGTATTCGTGAAAGTTACTGCCATACGATAAATGTTCATTGTTTTCTGTAAGCATAAGAATAACTATTAATTTTATATTATCCTGCATGTTTTATTATTAGTTTGAAATTAGTTTTTTTTGTGTGTGTGTGAATGTAAATTATAATAAGGCTGCTTGGAAAAATTAAGCATGAAAAACAATGTGATCATTTCAATGTGGGCTGTTTTCTGATGATCTCTCTCTCTCTCTTTTTTTTCTTTGTATTTTTTTTCTCTGTGTGTGTGTTTAGCTGCCAGAAAGTGTTGAACATGTGGTGAGTTCTCAAGTGTAGGCAGGCAGAAATAGCTCCATTGATTATAATTTCAAAGATTTCGAATAATTTTACATTGAAAAAAACAAACCTCTCAACATAGTAATTACAATTGATTTATTCAAAAATATTTAATGTTATTAACATCAGCTCTGAACAACAAGAAATAATTGTTTGAGGAGCTCTTTTGCCTGCTGCAACTTTTTTGCTTCAAGTGACATAGATTTCAGAGTACTTTTTAATTGAGTAGATGGTACACCAACCCTGCTTGTGCTTGTGCATTTGTTGTGTAACACAGAAGCTTTATTTGCTGTTCCAAATAGAAAACATAGGTTTTGGAGTTAAGTTTTCTTTTTGCCTGTTTGAATACACATTGTAGCCTGCACCCCATGCCCCCTCCCCCTTTACTAACTGATTATCATTGCCACTGAGTACACAGTCTATATTGTAAAAATTTATGATAAATTATAGTAAGATAGTGTTACAACAAATTTTCATCTAAATAGTTCCTGCTAATTGCGATTACTATAAAAAATATTCCTATCAGTAGAAATAATATTGAATTTAAATGATTTTCTGTGTTTAAAGTGCTTCTCTTAGTTTCAGGACAATTTTGAGTCAGGCTTAAATAAGTTGCTTAGCAAGACTAGGCAGTCTACTTCTGTATAGATTTACCACCTCAGAAACCCAGTGGGAGTCTCTGTGGGTCAGAATCGACTTGATGGCAGTGGGTTTGGTTTTATGGTTTTTAAATAAGTTGCTTAGATTAGAGTAAAGGTTTGAAATATTTTAGTCATTCAAAATGCACCTTATATAATTTCTAAAGTAATGTTCATTTACCAGATATAAAATGTGGAAACTTTCATGAGTACTTCTTTTAAAGAGAAATGGTCAGTTTTGACAGTGGAAATTATTAACAGTATGTGTGATTCAAGTTTAGTGGATATCAGAGTATAATTTGTCACCTTTATACTGTACATTTTTAAAATAATAAAAACCATGGCTTATGTTTATTTATGAAGTGTAGGTAAGTCCTAAGCTTCGTTACAAAAGCAGTGAGTCGGAAGAGAGGAAAAAGTTGGAACTATAAATTTGGTAGTTAGTGATATACAAATGGTTTTAAAACAATGGAAATGGATAAGATTGCCTAGAAAGCAAGTATAATTAACAGTGATGAAAATGCGCCTAAGATTGAGATCTGAAGAACTGTTGCACTGAGTAGGGTGGAGAAGTCAGCTAAAACGATTAAGAGAATTCATTCATTCAGCAAATATCAGTTGAGCTTTTACAGAAAAAAATAAAGAAAGAAGGAAAGTAGCTATTGAGGCTGCTCACCTATGAGCAAGCACCTCATAGGACTTGGTTTCTTGATCTGTAGATCATGGTTTTACGGGAATTCCAGGTAATTAGACTAACAACATTTTTAGTGCTTCTGGTTTACCTCCTAGTTCATTGTATAGTGCTTAGGGTCTTATAAGCCTACAAGCAGCTCCAAGACACAATTGGTCTCAGTTCCCCTGGAAAAGAGGAGAAAATGGAATGCATGCCTAACTGCTTCCATGAAGAAATAACTTTGTTTGCCATGAGAACAGAATAACTGAGTGGGATCCTGCTACCATGATTGGACATTTGATCATACATTCTATACAAGAACCCTGATCAAGAGGGGAGAAAATTATCATTGGCAAAAAAATTCTGTCAATAAATTTGCTCTGTTCATTTTTGAGATAATATCTTCTAAATACCCAAATTTGAATAACTCTGAAAAGAAACTTTAGAATTTTTATTTTATATAAAAGGAGAAAATATCTGTACTTAACCTATTACATCTTTTGAGCACAGAACAAAATCCTGTTTTATAGATATGTCAGTTTAGGGGAATAAAAGTAAAGGGTAGTGAAGGACACCACCAAGACAATGAAACAGCAGCCCACAGAATTGGAGAAAATAAGTTACAAATCAAGTATCTGATAAGAAGTTTGTATACAGAATATATCAAGGACTCCTGTAACTCAAGTAAAAAGACAAATAGCCCAATTAAAAAGTGGGCAAAGTACTTGAATATATATTTCTTTGAAATATATAAGAAGATATACAAATGGCCAATAAGCATGTGAAAAAATGCTCTATGTCCTTAGTCATTAGGGAAATGCAAATCAAAACCACAATGTGATCCCACTTAACACCCTCTAGGATGACTATAATAAAAAAGACAGACATAACAAATCTTGGCAATACTGTAGAGAAATTGAAACTCTCATACATTGCTGGTAGGAATGTAAAATGGTACAGCCACATTGGAATACAGGTTAGCAGTTTCTCAAACTCTTAAACACAGAGTTACCATATGACTTAGTAATTCCATTCCTAGGTATGTACCCAAGAGATGAAAATGTCAGTGCACACAAAAAATGTGTGCGTGAATGTTCATAGCAGCAGTATTCACAATAGTTGAAAAGTAGAAACAGTTCAAATGTTCATCAGCTGATAATTGGATACAAAAACCAACGCCAAGCCCATTGCCCTTAAGCCAGTTCCAACTCATGACAATCCTGTATGTTACAGAGTAGAAGTTCTCCATAGTGTTTTACTGGCTGTAATCTTTATGGAAGCAGATTAGCTTTTCTTCTGCAATGCTATTAGATGGATCCAAACCTCCAAACTTTATAGGGTAACAGCTGATCCCAAATGACTCATGTTGCACAGGGACCTTTTTTTTTTTTTTAATAAAAATACATTTTATTGAAATATAATTTATGTACAGTGATACACAAAACTAAAGTGACATGGGTCAATGCATTTTTTTTTTTTTTTTTTTTTTTTGGCAGTGTTCCCTCCCCTCCACTCCATTTCCATCCCTGGTAACCAACAACGAAAGTTTCCTTCCATATGTAAACCTTTCCTTGACTTTTTATAATCATGATCTAATACTGTATTTGTCCTTCTGTGATTGACTGACTTCACTCAGCATAAGTTCCTACAATTTCATACATGTTATATGGTGTTTTGCAGATTCTTTAGTATTGCATAGTATGTATGTCTTCTGCCCATTTTCAATTGGGTTGTTAATCTTTTTGTTGTTGACGGGTTGGAGTTTTCTGTAAATTTTAGAGATAAGTCTCTTGTAAGGTATGTTGTTGCCAAATATTTTTTCCCAATCTGTAGGTTCTCTTTTGACTCTTTTGGAGAAATCTTTTGAAGCACATAAAAATTTAATTTTTATAAGGTCCCATTCATAGTTTATCTTCAGCTGTTTGTACATTTTGAGTTGTGCTTGACAGTCTATTTATGCTATAAATTACGGCCCTTAAGTTTTCCCCAATTTTTTCCTTGAGGAGCTTTATAATTTTAGATTTTATAGTTTCAAGTCTTTGATCTACCTAGAGTTAGTTTTTTTGTATGGAGTTAGTTTTGTGAGGTACATTTTGTTTCATTTTTGTGCAAATGAATATCCAGTTTTGCCAGCACCATTTATTTGTTAAAGAGACCATCTCTTCCCTATTTAATGGATTTCAGCCCTTTGTCAAAAAATCAGCTGACCATAGGTCAATGGATCTATTTCTGGGTTCTCAATTCTGTTCCACTAGTCTGTGTGTCTTTCGTTGTACTAGTATCAGGCTGTTTTGACTACTGTGGCTGTACACTAGGTTTTGAGATCTGGGAGTGTGAGGCCTCTTAGTTTGTTCTTCTTCATTACTGCTTTGCTTATTCGAGGTCTCTTTCCTTTCCATATAAAATTAGATAGGAGTTTTTCCATATACTTAAAGAATGCTAATAGGATCTGGATTGAGATTGCACTGAATGTATAGCTTGCTTTGGGTGATACTGACATTTTCACAGTGTTCCATCTTCCTATCCATGAGTATGATATGTTCTTCCATTTATGTAGATCTCTTATGGTTTCTTGTAGTAGTGATTTGTAGTTTTCTTTGTGCAGATCTTTTTTGTCCCTAGTGAGATTTATTCCTAAATATTTTTTTTTTTCATGGCTAATGTAAATGGTATTGATTTCCTTATTTCTTTTTCAACAATCTCTGCCAGTGTAGGGGAATCTGAGTTTTGTATGTTGATCTTCTATCCTGCCACTATGCTAAATCTCTCAATTAGTTCCAATAGTTTTTTTTTTTTTTTTTTTTTTTTTTTTTTTTGCTGAGCGTCTTGTGTTTTCTATGTATAGGATCATATCATGAGTAAATAGGGATAGTTGCACTTCTTCCTTACCAATTTGGATGCATTTGATTTCCCTTTCTTGCCTTATTGTCCTGGCTAGGACTTCCAATATAGTAGTTTATAGAAGTGATGCTAGAGGGCATCCTTATTTGGTTCCAGTTTGCAAGGGGAATGATTTCAGTCTCTCCACTGAGAATAATGTTGGCTGTTGGTTTTGCATGTATTCCCTTTATGTTGAGGGATGTTCTCTATTCCTATTTTGCTGAGAGTTTTTATTAGGAATGCAAGTTGGATTTTATCAAATGTCTTTCCTGCATCAATTAAAATGATCATGTGGTTCTTTTCCTTTGTTTTATTTATATGATGGATGATGTTGATTGTTTTTGTAATGTGAACCATCCTTGCATACCTGATATGAACCCACTTGGTCGTAATGAATGATTTTCTCGATATGTTGTTGGAGTCTCTTGGCTAGGATCTTGTTGAAGATTTTTGCATCGGTATTCATGAGGGATATTGGTGTGTAGTTTTCCTTTTGAGTGATGGCTTTGCCTGGTTTTGGTCTCAAGGTTAAGCTTGCTTTATAAAATAAATTAGGGAGGATTCCATCCTTTTCTGTGTTCTACAGTAGTTTGAGTAGGATTAGTGTCAGTTCTCTGAATGTTCAGTGGAACTTGCCAGTGAAACTGACTGGGCCAGGGCTCTTTTTGGTTGGTAATTATTTTTATGACCTGTTCAGTTTCTTCTTCTGTTATGGTCTGTTTAAATTTTCCACATCAGCCTCTATTAGTTTAGGTAAGTAGTATGTTTCTATAAATCTGTCCAATTATGCC